GTGGCATAAAAGCGCGGGAGATTCAAATCTAATTTTGTCCGGATTTTGACCGCGGACCCTGTATGTTTTGTTTAAAATGAAAGTAATTATTTAAAAACTTCAACAAGAGTGAATTGTGGGTGAGAAATTTAATTTTATTTGGAAAATTTATTAATTCTTTTGTGTTGTGCGTGTCAACTGCTGTGGTCATTATTTCTTTATGCGTTCTGTGAGCTATATACCAGGAGGTAGCGGGGTTCCCTCACTAGAAAATGGGAATCCGGCGCCCACATAAACGTCCACTTTCGGGGTTTCACCCTCCACGTATCTCCGTTCCCGTAGCACCCCCGCCAGGATAGGCTCTAAGCCCTGGATTAGTCGATCTCCGGATGTGTGGTAGAGTAGTGAATGATCAACCTAGCTAGCTAACTAGCTAGCTAGCTAGCAAAGGTTTTGCAAAGAAGGGGTGACCTGGTCCGGTTGGCTCTCGGGTTTTAGATCGGTCACGTAGCGTCTTTGAGCCCAAGCTTTGAGCCACGTGGCCTTCAAAATCTAACGAACTTCCGACACAAGTATGAATATGATCCATTCAACGATGGTGGAGCCGTAATCTCACATGTGCCTTAGATCTTGGAGAGTTATATTTTCATAATCTATTGAATGTCTTCTCGAATATTGGGACTAAAAATTGCTTCTCTTTTCCAGCTGATTTTCTAGTGTCAGATTTTTTTAAATTTTGACTTTTCTTCTCACCTCTGCGGTCATCTTTAATTGGAGGTGGTTGGAATGGTAGCGACAAGTTCTCTCCTCTGTCAACAATTTCCACAAAATAAAGCTATTTTTTTGAATATTTTAATTCACAACAAGGGTGCCTACACTACTTGTGTATGCTGTGAGGCTTCTTGTGAGGCTACAGTCAACATTTTCGTAGTTTCTCAAAAGGTTTTAGCTTACCTGGTTCTCAATAAATTCCTTGGATAAAATGGTGTGATTTAGAATTTGTATTAAATTTATAATTTTTTTTCTAATTCCGATTTTCTTCCAATAGTGGCCTTACAAAACTTTGGTAGCGAGCAGATACTCTACTCAGTAATGACCAATCTATATTACACCACCTGAAAGTTTCTGAGACGAAAAAAGTACCCTCGATATTACATTGCTGCAATACCAATTTTAATAAGATATTTTTATTTCTTCTACTAGAAAATATTCACATTGTTCAAATCCTTACTGCTTCAGGTATACACTGCACGCTTGCTAGTCTGAAGGCAGTATGAAGCCTTCAATTTTTATTTTTCAAATGTTGTGCTTCTAATAGCCACTACTAATCCACTAAACAATACCGGTGTCGTTGCATCACTGGTTCTCATTGAAATGTGAAACAATTAAATGCAGTTACAGATTCAATTTTTCAGGAAAGGAAAGAATCATTATTTATTTTTTAATGACTAATTAAATCAAATTAGACTTATTTTTAAATATTTTATTTGGGAATAACTACCGAGACTGCTGGTGTTGACAGTGTAAGACTAATCACCAACATCAAACAATAATAAACTTGTCTTCATTTATTTGTATTAATAAAATATTGAAATTTCTTCATTTTTACTTTGATTTATTACTCCACACTAACGGATGTTGTGTGCCAAGCTACCCCATGCTTCTGCCACCATACCCTGTGGCTAATGCCGACGAACGTTACAATTAAATTTGGTTAGCACCTGTTGTCATAGTGTCTCTTAACAATTCTAAACGTTCGACGACTTGCACATCAAAAATACATTGAGGTAGCCAAGTAAATATAGATGCCGTGTATATACTCAAAATGTGTCAAAATTATACTGGAATAACAAACAAAATTAAACACGACCAACTGGTACCAACCAGACCCGAACGCCCCTTCATTTTTAGACTAGTGAAAGTTTGTTTTTAATAATGTTCTTTTAATTCCATTTCGTCTTAAAAATTCTTAACAACATTCAGCGTATTAATATTGAAATTACAATATGCAATAAATATACATAGTCTTAGAGAAGCTTAATTTGCATTTTATGACATGGAAAATATTTATGTTTTACAATTTCTTATTTATTCTTAACACGTTGGCACCAGTAGAAAAGCGTTGAAGACTTCTCGTCCAAATATGTTCTCCTGTTGGTAGAATTTGGTACCTACATTGAAGTTATCATGTATTTTTTACAGGCCATTACATGAACCACATCTGAGTCCACGTATTTTATTTATTGGATAATTTTATATTTATTGGAAAACTCAAAGTAATCGAATTCTCATCTTGTCTCGAAAATATACAACCCCGCAGCAAATGCTGTGAGGGAGGACCAGGCTGAAGCCTGTGTAATGGACGTAAAAAAATTGAGGGAGTGGCTGCTCGAATTAATAAAAATATCTCCCAAAAAGGCAAGCCAACTAACAGGTGCATAGAAATTGGGTTCCAAAAATTTCCAGGAAAAGGGTCCGATATAATTAGTTCTTGTAGAGAAGAGATCCACTCCAAAATATCCAAACATTGACTGACCTTTCGGTGAAATTCAGAGAAAAAAATATCAGTTTTTTTGGAAATGTCCACCACAAATTGGGTTCTGCGTCAAAATGTACATTGTTTTAGCCCAATTGCGCAATATTTGCCCTACACGTGCAGGTCTCTCGGTAGATCTAATGTAATGTAAATCAATGTATTTCCTTCTGTTAACGATGGATTATTCTAGTTTTTTATAAGAACAGCTGAATTATTTATAAAATAAAGAGAAATTATCTTCATTATTCGAGAACAATGTCTCGTTTAAATATAATCTAGTCATCAACAGCTGTACATTAATGGTTTGAACTGTTGATTGGTATTCTGATTTCTTAAACTTCTTTTATAACATTTATGGACAATTTATTTATCGTATAATATTAAATCCGTCATAGACCGTCCAGAAGTGCTTTAGGTATTTTGCATCTTTCGTAAATAGACAAAATCTCTCGTCGTTCTGATGAGAGGAAACCTCTTCTCAGCAAGTATGAAAGAGTACGGGGAATCAAAAAAGACTGGTCAGAATATATCATGATTATAAGTGACCAAAACTAATTTATTAAAACAAAGTGGTAATAATTATAATAATATAATATTAGAGAACTCTTTATTGACATTTATATTAATTATAAGGCATACATGTGGGATAACAAGTGGAAACAGCCATTGCTATATTTATGTCGGACGAATCATAATATGAAGTTGAAATTCCAGTATAAATAAAATAACATTACGATGAAGGAATTTTGCTTCCACGTGTGCTGATTGTATAAAAACGCATAAAAACTATATTTGTTCCTTGGACGTTTGAGTACCAATGTGTTTAATATCTACATTTTAAACTGATTGATTAGTGATTGCGGTCACGACAACTGCCAAGATCATATTTCCGTAAATGTAATGCATGATTTATCGCGGGAGGTGCCAGTGATCTTTCTCCGCTAGATGTCGAGTTTTAGAGCCGATCCACCGGTCGGCTTGCGGATTGTTCCTTAAACAGGCATCTCCCGCCAGCAGGACACCACACCAACCACGACAAGGACTAAGCTCCCGACTGGTCTCTCGGTAAGTGCGGTAGTGGAGTGCGTTTAAGTAAGGGTTGAGGATAGGAAAAGGAAAAGGAATGAAAGATTGTTCGCGGTCCGTGCCCTATTTGTTACGGTACTGGTCTGGTATTCGCGGGGTTGTGGTCTGAAAAAACACGGAAAAGTACCGAGCCAGCCGCTAGAATCCTCTTTCAGACAGCAGCTAAACTCATCGTAGCTATGAGTCGAAAATCCTTGCCACCGTCGGGACTAAACCTTAGGACATTCCGATCAAAGGCATTGCAGTGACATCAATTGATTACGTAAATTTGTATTTAAATAATTTTATAAACTAATTTGTACGAGAAAATAAGGTATATTAAGTTCGCTAATTCAATTTAATTATTATCAGTAAAGAATATTACAAATTTTCCGAACTTTACTGAAAACTACGAACACTAGAAGCCCTCATCTTCCGAGAACAGTCCCCGAATTTACAAATCCTACCCCATATAAAATCCGCCCCTGGTGTGTCTCCGAAACTCATTTAATGTCCAATAATATGTTTTTAGTATCGTATAATTATTACACAACTGTTATTTATTACGCTATATACCAAACAATTCCAGAAACAAATTCTTACGCATCAACAATGTGGCATTTGTTCATTTCTATCGTTTGGTTATTCACTCGAAATACGATTCGCTCCACGGCAAAGCGAACTAATTCTCATTTCTTTCTTCCACATTTACCTTTTTTCTTTGTTGTGTTGCGTTTCTAAATAATGACATCTTGTTTTAGCAGTATCGGTAACCTTGTATCACATCCACGTGTATTTTTTGTAATTTATTATGTGGTGGATCTTAAGAAAAATCATGCTAGGAAAATTTAAACGGCTTCATTCCAGAATCTACCTTCAATAAAGACCTTCTACCTACCGAAAATCTTCCTACCTTCTACCTACCGACAATCAAGAATCTACCTTCCTATCGTTGGATGGTTGCTGTAAAAACAGATATAACTGTCACTAACTTTAATGATTTGAAGAGAAAAGATTCCAACAGTATTTTTATCGAAGTGTTGGATGATTTTAACACAAACATTCTTGTCTTAGGAAAAAATACGCATATGATGTTCGTACATTTCGTTGCAATCTATATTACTAATTTCCAATGCGCGCAGAATAAAGAAAAATACTGCCACCAACCACGTGAGAGTTCTCCATTGTGTCGTCCTCAAGATCTCGGGAAATATACAGGAACAAAAAAAGTTTCGATTTTACCTGAAGAATTCAAATTCTCGGTTGTGTTGACTATTTTCATACTACACTTGCTAACCAAATTACCGTTATCTTTGCGTCACCGTTTACGAAACAGCTGACGTCATGAAACAGAAAGACTGAGGAAGGTGACCGCCTGCCATTAAATATTTGCAATTCACGTGCAGCTCAGATAATTTGTTTATATTATTACTTCATAAAGAATTTATTGTATAGTATATATACTCTACTATGTTTTGCAATATTTCTCAAGATGTTTTTATCAAAACATTTAATTTAAAATTGTTAAACAACAGTTATCATAGGACCATGCGAACGTGCAACTGTCCCCACCAAGGCCCAGTCATATTTTTCCGGGTATAAGTGCACGTGACTTTTGGGGGATCAGCATTTCTGTGCTGAATCCATTTTTACACCCCAAGGTTGTTATCCCTGGGGGTGGCGGTATAACACGTATTTTATTCGTTTTTCTTGGGTAGTGTGCCTGGTATATTTTGGAAAACCATTTTGCTTGATTTTGATCAACTGTAATTTGCTTCGTCAAGTCACTAATTAATACAATTTTCGTTGGTTTTGAAGGACTTCCAGTAACTTTGTTTGGCTACTGTAACATATTTAGTGAGAAGAGAACGTTGACAGGACTTTTGCAAGATTGTTGGGCGAAAGTAGAGGAAACATTTTAGCAACGATAATATTACATTGCTTTCATTGCTGTCAGCCATCACAAGGAAATATGAAATATATACTGCCATGAAACTCTTTTTTTTTCTGAGGAGAAATGATCATCCAGATATAGAAGTCGTTCAACAATCTTTGCTCTGATTATGAATGAATTTTATTGCCTTAAATTTGTCACGTTTTCATGTGTCAGTTAACCAAGCCGAAAGAGGGGAAGTAACGGCAAAAAATCTTATAGGATTCTCAATGGATTGGTTGAAAAACTTCGAGCTAGAAATGAAGTAAAATTTATTCCAATTTCAGTAAAAAAACTGCTATCACATCTCAAAAAAGAAAGAATTTATTGCAACATCAAGTAACTTTTACACTATTGAATTCAGTAATTCTTTGTACTATCATGCTGAACAAACTAGGTATAGTGCTGTGTGATTAGAATTTCTCGGCAGCGACAAACCGTTAGGTAGTGTCTAGGTGGTATATTTAAAATGAATAGTAAAAGGAAATAAACAAATTAAAAATCGTGTATTTGACGAAATTAATTTTTTGAAAGAATATTGATATGAAAACATAACTAAATGTAATGGAGATTGCATTATTGTCCTTTCTAGTTAGTGACATTTACTGAAAGTTCCTCCTATCCATAGCTTCAAACGTTATAAGAACTTTTATCTCTGTCTACTAGGAAGCAATTGCATCATTTAAGAGAGGTATTTTCATGAATAATAAGATCATTTCATAGTTTTAAGACTAGGTTGACACAGTTAAAATTTAGAGATGTCCGGAGTATCTTGTCACGAAGAATTTGTTTCAAAATTGGGGTCAAGACCACATCTTCTCAACAAAGTGATCTCTCTAGAAAAATATAATTAATGGACAACAAAGACAACTCTACATTTACTATTATGTAGTTGTTTTGTTGTATTATAGACTACCTATACAGTTCCATATAAAACCGTTCACGTATTCACTGAAAAATCCTATGTATAAACTAATGTATGTATCCAGTATCACCGATGTTTCACATCTTGAGTGTAATATTAATGCGTTCATTCCTGACATTAGTCAGACAGAAGTAACGTGTCAGACAGAAGTAGCAACAAAATAACATACTTTTTCAACAAGCTTCAAGAAAAAGAAAACGGCAGGAATGGGAGAAGAATTTTCATGTTTTATAATTGGAGCAAAATGTTAATAAATGTCTCTGCGTTTAAGCACAAAAATAATGGATCACATCCGTTTACCAAACAGCTTCACGATATCATAGTCTTCCAAACTCTTAACTACTTTTAGACTTTGTTAGTACTTGTAAAACTTTCGCTTCATGTTCACAAGTGTGTAGTAGAATTGTGTCATCCTAAAAAAGCGATCTCATTTTTAAAAGTTCATTGCATAGTGCTAAAATAGGCACCTTCCAATTTTACTTCCAGCCGTTAGCCGAATTCCTTAACTACGCTCCATGAAGTTAGGAAAGACACCATGGATTTCAAGGCGGGTGACCGTCTGGGAACGACAGCTGCTAACGGCGCCGAGCACCTGACCGAAGGGATAAAAGGCACTGACTGACTGGGACGTGACGTGTCTTGACAAAAAGACTTCAGTCGCTCAATGCCCAAGAAGGGTTTAGAAACACATTGAGTAGACAAAGGCGCAAACAAATCTTCTTTTGCCTCCACACCCAGTCTCACCGCCTGAACGCATCACAATAACTCCAAT